AATGTTTGATGGCTACTTGTTTTGAAGATTTGACCAAAAACTCTAGGAAAAAAACAAAATAGCGTCCCCGATATTTTTTTTTTTTTTTTTTTTTTTTTTTTCCCTTTGAAAAAGATATTGAGGTTCTAGTTGACAATATAAAAAGGCAAGGAAACGTAACTCTCAGAGCAGAGTTGTTCCTTGTTGCCAAGGGCAGATATTCAAACCCTTTGTGGGAAATGAAAATGCAACATTTTCTAGCTTTGTCTGGATACACTGCTGTGCTGTGTCTTTTGTGATCCATGTTATCTTTTTAATTGCTTGAAGGCCCCCAACCAGCCAACCAGAGTTAGTGTGCATTCTGCATCGTATCTAAAAATCATTTTCCTGAGACGTTGGTATTTGTTTGAAGTTTTCTTCTGAAATTATTGAAAGAAAAGAGGAGCTTTCCCAAAAATTCTCTTTAGAAGATACATGCATGTTTGATTCTACTTGTCCATTTGTTATCTTTTAAGTTTGTTCACTTGGTTGTAAATATATCATAGATGCTTGTCAGTACACTTATTAGACAGTTTTAATTTGTGGATTTGCTTCTTATTGATCAAGACTTATTGCTTGTGGTTAAAGATTGGTCATAGGACTATCCTATGAGTAGCTTGTTCATCCTCAGCTCATGTAATTGAATTATTTTACTTTATTTTCTACCCATGAAGTAAGGTTGCATGAAATTATATCCAGAGATGGATTATTTCAAAGAATTATTGACTTTAAGGCTTAAGCATTTAAATGCGCTCTCCGTGCTAGTCTTTTCTATCTTGGGAAATTTTGTTGGAAAAATGACAGAAGTTAATGGGCAAGATGGAAAGCAAATTGTGACTTTTTCTTTAAATAAACTGCTGTATAATTATTTTAATTTAGTAGTGAGGAATTTTTGTTGAACCAAGGTGGGGAAGGAAAGTCTCTTGGCATGTAAGGCTTTGCCATCATGGAAGACTTTCTAATTTGCATTTTATGGCCAATTTAAATTGAAAGCTATGTATTAATTGCCAATTTTTATTTCCATGCTACATGCACTTGTGTTATGTATGTGTTCTCTTTCTCCTTTGCTTCAGACTTGGTAATCCCTCTGTAACAATTATATCAAAGAAAATTTTCTAAAGAAAATTCATGCATTCAACCTTAAACTTCCTGGTTTCAGTGGGGGTGAACAGGAGAGAGGAAGTTGGCCTTTCTTGGGTCAACTTGCACTCTTTTTTTTTTTTTGGTAAAAGGTCAACTTGCACTCTACCTGCTTCTTTATTTCATGTTTTTTTGGCTGGTGGCTTCTAAGGATTATACATACTAACAATACTAACAAACTATTGAATTATCCAAATTGCCATTATACAAAAAAAAAAAAAGAAAAAAGAAAAAAGAAAAGGCATGCTGAATGAAAGTGATATTTTGGTGCATAATTCGGCTTTTGGCAGTTGGAGTACTAGAATTTAGTTTTGAGAATAATATGGTGACTTTATTCTTTGTTTGCAGGTTTTGTCATGTCATTAAACCAACAGCACAACTGTTTACGGTCTTCCAATTTGGATGCCCAGCAAGGTTCACACTAAAGTAGCTGGCGAAATTAGGTAAACATTTGACATGGATCCTTGAGCTGAGACAAATATTTACAATTTTTTTATTAAGATTGAAAAATCCTGGGCAAGGATGTACCCGTCAGAGGAAGGAAGTTAGTACAATGCTTCAGGCACTTTTCTTATGGCTCTCGGTTTATAAATCATAATAATGTACTAATCTGTATCATAACATGTGTATGGTTACATAATTCAGAATTTTGTTCTGTCCATTCATCTTTAGTAAGTAGTCAAACTTGCAAACTTGAGTTGGTATAAATTATCCAAGTGTTCATCTGAGGTTAGTAAGTTGTGAATATCATTTACCTCAATTAATCCTGGCATCTTTTGATGCACTATTGATAAAGCTTGAATTCCTAACAATTTTATTTTCACGAATCATCTTTTAGATAGATGTTCTCTTTGTTTGATCTTGTTTTCCAAAATTGTGGACTTTAAAGTTTGCCTTAAAGTTTAATTTGGGTCCTTAGAATAATGCGTTCATCTGCGTCTTTTTCTCTGTTTTCATACTAGACATTGTGGTTTGTCATAAACTAAAATTTAGATTGGGGAGAGACTATTCATTTATTTATTTATTAAATCTTCTTATACATCCAATATTGGATTATACAATAAAAAAATAACTCTCTTTTTGCAAATCTGTCTCCAACTTGTGGCCTACCGGTTCCCAACCCATGATTATCTGTGGTGCAGTGAAATCTGGAAAATAAAAAGTAAATTAAATCGATAATTAAATTTGAATTTTGTTATGTCTGAATTGATTAGGCGGCTGTCGTGAATCTCCTAGTGTTGTTTGTTTACTTCGTTCTTGTGCGTTATCTCTTCTATATCTTACATCTAGAAAACCTGGACGAGGAGTAGAAAAATAGACAAGCTGCATAAGGGATTTTTTGCTTTTTTTTTCTTTTTTTT